ACAGTGCCTGCCTAGCACTCAGCTTCCATCCCCAGCACTGTAAAAACAAGACAGAAACAGGCAAACAAAACCAACAAAGATTAGGCAAGCAGTTCTTGACAAACAGGACTCAGCCAATAATGGTGGAGGTAGCGATAGCTCTGAACATTTCTGAATTGTAGAGTAGCCCATCTTTAAAAAAATTTTTTTTATTATTTTTATTTTCTGTGCATGAATGTATTGCCTGCGTGTATGTAAATGTACCTGTGTTGTGCAGTGCCCATGGAGGTCAGAAGAGGGCACTGAATCCCCTGGAGCTGGAGTTAGGGGTGTTGGTTAGTTGACATGTGGGTGCTGGGAAGTGAACCCAGGTCCTCTGAAAGAGCAATTAGTGATCTTAACCACTGAGCTGTCTCTCCAGTCCCAAGTAACCCCTCTTGAAGAATCCTAAAGTCTCTTCACCATAAGGACTTAGGTCCCAATGCTTCTTCTGTTGCTCCTCACTGCTGCCCACATATCTGAGACCTGCCTCCATAGGAACCGCTAACCTCACAGGGCACCTCTATCCCACTTAACACATCATAACATGTAAAGATCACTGCTTGGTCCTTACAGCACTTTCCATTTTTCACGCCCTATGATCCTCCCACCTGTGGGGTAGTTTTATTTTCTTCCTCTGAGATGGAGTGAGGGTAGATAGCCTGAAAAAAGATTTGTAATCTTTTGTGCTTTCCTTGTATCCTCTGGCTCTCGGGCTGTACTTTGAGGTCCAGATTTGCTTAGAGAAGAAGGGATGGGTTCTGGGTGTATATGCCCTCAGCACATGTTTATAGCCACTTTCTGAGCAAATGGGTATGTAACCAGAAAATGCATGGGCCAGTGAGATGGCTCAGTGGGTAAAGGTGCTTGCCTGAAAATCTGAAGGCTTGAGTTCTATCCCTGGGACCCACAGTGGAAGGAGAGAATTAACTTCCAAAAGTTGTCCTCTGACTCCACACACATGCTGCTGTACACACATGCTATGCCACATGTGTGACTGCATTTACACATATGTATCATACACAGATCAATAATTAAAAAAAAAATACAGCTTCTGGCCACCATGAACCAACATAGCTTATGAGAGCTACACCATTAGAGTAGTTAGGGAGTGAGGGTGGGAGGAGGCCTGGATCCCAGCCACAGGTCAATCACAGACCTCCCAAGTAACCTTGGACATGGTTCCTAAGTTCCCCTGCCCCACATCTACACATGGGGGAAAAGACAGCTAGCTGGCTTGCTAGAAGCCCTGTTCAAGCCAAAGATATCTCCAGTTCTCACCATCATGACCCGGACTTTGACATTAACAGCTCAGAGACCCCACTTGCCATCACGTTTAAAAAACTGAAAGACAAAACAGTACAGCTTTACAGTTCTGCCAACCCCCCAAAAAAAAAAAAAAATCCGAGAGCACAACATTGATTTTTTTTTTCTTTTTTTCTTTTTATAATTTTGGCAGAGGACGATCCAGTTCCTGGAAATGCTTACAAAATGATTCCTGACACTGGGAGGAGATAGTTAAAAGGAAAAAAGAAGAAGTCGAAAAATTATCTGCATACATACAGATATAAAGGAAGAAGGTGCAAAGAAAAAACAAAAGGAATAAACAAAAGCAAGAACTAACAGAGAACGGGGGGGGGGGGGGGGAGACGTCACGGGGCCCCAATTCAGGGAGCTTTATCAAGGTCTTTGCATCTGCGAGGCACAAGCTGCTCTCCGGCCCGGGCGGCGCAGACCCCGCCCCTATCTCGGGTGTCGGCCGCTCATTGGTGGGAGAGGCAGTCGCCGGCCGGTGCCTGCCCGAGGAAAGGTTGCCTGGGACACGCATCCCTGTGTGAACGCATGACGTCCCACCCTGGCGCCAGGCTGTCTGGGGCTGAGTCTTAGATCAACACAGCTGTGGGACCGGGACCCACAGCTGGGCAAAGGAGCGGATTCCTCAACAAAAAATAGGATTGTGAGAAAAGTTCTGAAACAAAAACAGCGCAGACAAAAGCCTTAATGACATCCTTTCATAAAAATAAAAAATGCAAGAGGGGGGAAAAAGCTGGTAAAAGGAGCCGAACTGGGAACAGAAAGTTCAGAGGCGTTTGGAATAAGAGGCTGAGGCCCCGCCACCACTCACCGAGTAGCAAAAGGCCGAGCGAGCCGTCCAGTCTGCTGTGCACCAGAAAAGGGGTCTTTGGGGTTTAAACTCTATTCAGTGTTCCTAACCCAACCGTAACCCAGTCTTTTCAGAATTAGACTCAGGTTAGAGGAGACCCTTAAAGGTCATTTGCTCCCTCTCCTTCTCTTCCTTCCCCTCCCCCAAAACAAGGCCCCGGAAGAAAAGAAATTGTCCAAGGGTAAGTTACTGGTGTGGAAAGGACCGACTTCAGCTTGGTAACCCCACTGCATCCTTCTGCCCCATGCCACACAGCCCGTGGCTATTTCAGCCTGGAAGTGTAGTCGTGGGAAATAAGAAATGTGAAGGCACTCTGCAAACCCTAAACCGCTATCCTAGCCTAAGGCATCAGTGGTGGGGGGGGCGGGGGGGGAAGGAGAGAGGAGATTCTGGGTGGGCTGAGTGTCTATCACTCACCTGGCCCCAAGATGAACGGGAGCTGAAGGAGGGAGCCTGTCTGGGGTTTCTCAGAGAAGAGGTATTGGAGAATTATGTTTTGAACAAATGAGGTCAGTTTCAATAGCTCCATTTTATAGACAGGAAAACCAAGGCACAGAGAAGTGATTTATCCCAAGTTCACACTGTCAGGGAAAGAGAACAAATGGAGACTTGAACATAGGTCTGCCAGACCCTGAAGGCCACGATTTTTCTAGAACCTCCTGGCTTGACTATTTTGCACAAACATACAGAAGTCCGCATGATAGCCAAAGAAAGGATCCTCTGTTTGGTTATTCAGAGTCCCCATAGCCACCAATTTCCCTTCCTGTGACCAAATAGCCGGCTTTCCACTTCTGCAGTATATAGAGACCGGCTTGTCTCCTTACAGGTTATTTCCTTTCTTTTATGCTGGAAGAGCTGTCCTTAAAAACATTAATGTTCCAAGGAGAAGATTTTCAAAGATCTCTTTCTTGGGATACAGAGCCCTGTGATATGGAAAAAAAACAGGGCTTAGGGACTGGCTTTACTGCTATTTGTGGTGTGATAATGGACATATTTTATATACCTCCTCTTGGTCCTTTGCCATCCCAAACCTGCCAGTCCAATTTTCACAAAACCGTAGACTTCTCAACTCAGAAAGTACTTAAAATAATCCCTTAGAATTATTTCTTTGTTTTTCTTACCAGGCTACCAAAGCCAGAATATCTGGGTTTGTTCAAAATTAGATTTAGGGGCTGGAGAAATGGCTCAGAGGTGAAGACCACTGACTGCTTTTGCAGAGGACCTGGGTTTGATTCCCAGCACCCACATGGCAGCTAACAACCTTCTGGAACTCTAGTTCCAGGGGCTCCAACACCCTCTTCTGACTTCCATAGGCACTGCATGACATGGGTACATTTAACATTCAGAACATACACTCATACACATTAAATAAAAAAAACAGATGAAATATTTTTAATTGATTTAGGTGACCAAGGGATGGCATATTAAAACCAGAGCTCTGAATTCCTAGTCTAGTGCCCTTCCCACTATAACTGTTTTTGGAACTGTCCTAGCTCAGAGCTCCCATTGTCCTGGTAATCAGTGCCACACAGTACTGAACTCTTAATTGTTTCCTGTGTTAATCTTGCCTCCCCACATTGTGAGATTCTTGAGAGCCTGAACCACTGTTTTATGTGAAGCAACTCCATAAATATTTACTAGCTGATTGCTGATGGTGGTGGTGGTGGTGATCCCACTTGCTCATTTCCAAGATGGAAATCGGTATCTTGGAACTACAGATTCTCCAGAGTTTAGGAAGTGGGGAGAAGACGGGGCAAAGAACACTGACCGCAATGTCCTGCTGCAATATGGGACTCAGCTTGCCTGCTGCTTCCTCTCCTGGCCTCACATGGAGCTGCCCTTCCACCACAGAAACAGAGCCATGGAATTGCCATTGTTTTCTGCACTGAATGTGGAAAGTTGGGGGGGGGGTTGCAACAGAGGAAACAAGAGTTAAAAGGGAGTTGATGACCCAGTGGGGAGGTGGGCTTCTAAAAACTTCATATAGAAATCGTTCCTCCTTGGTCCCTCAAATCTGAAAGCCTGTCCAAAATTCTAATCAAATTCACTTCCAAAGCACATCTGGGCATATAGTCTATTTCTTAAGGAGTTCATGGGACAAAAATTTCATGCTCTTCTTTCCCCATGCACAAAGCATGGATTCAAGCTGCTTTCTTCTCTCTCCTTTCTTTAGCCCCCTCTCCCCTGTTGCTCCCACCTCCCCTCCCCTCCTCCTTGCAATCTCAGCGCCTAGCCCAAATCTGTTTTCTTCATTGTAACCTCAGCTTCACCGCAATTAATTTTTTTCCCCTCTGGTCACAAGATAATTCCTGACGCCAGTGAGTCTGGAGGTCAGACGAACAGCAAATTGGGGAACAAGGCGGCACTAATTCCTTACAAGTTTCCCTTGAAAATTCTTGAGGGGGGGGAACGTGGAAAAAAAAAAAAAAGCTTCTTAGTTGTTCAGGGGTTTATGACCTTTGAGTTGTAGGTTCGAACCAGTGTTGGGCACGGGGCAGGGGAGAGCGAAGATGTTGGGCGCCGCCAGAAAAAGGCAAATTCTTAAAGTTAATGGTTTTAAGTGATTTTTTTTAGATCCATGCTGGCTAGGAGGCCCGCCTCTCTGCAGTATCAGCGCTTCCTCATTCTTTGATTCCGCGGCTCCGCGGTCTTCGGCGTCAGACCAGTCGGAGGAAGCCTGTTAGCAATTTAATCAGGCTGCGAACTCCCAGGGCTGGGGAGGCGGAGCCTAGGGCAGGCGGGGGTGGGGCCTGGGCGGGCCAATTTGAATAAAGGGCGGGCCCTCGCGGCGGGTCCCATAAAAGTCGCCCGGCCCCAGGCGTGCTTGCATTGCTCGCTGCTCCGAGTGGTTCCTAGTTCTGCTTATTTCTTTGGACACTTCCAACTTCACTCTCCAACATGAAGGCGCTGAGCCCTGTACGCGGCTGCTACGAGGCGGTGTGCTGCCTGTCGGAACGCAGCCTGGCCATCGCCCGGGGCCGAGGCAAGAGCCCGGCGGCGGAGGAGCCGCTGAGCCTCCTGGACGACATGAACCACTGCTACTCGCGCCTGCGGGAACTGGTACCCGGAGTCCCGCGAGGCACTCAGCTTAGCCAGGTGGAAATCCTGCAGCGTGTCATAGACTACATCCTCGACCTGCAGGTGGTCCTGGCCGAGCCGGCCCCCGGACCCCCGGACGGCCCGCATCTCCCTATCCAGGTAAGCGCGTGGGAGCCAGGCGGGGCGGGGCTGAGCATCCCGGCTGGGATGCTGCGGGTACCCCCAACCTCCCAGCTCCCTGAGTCCCTTGTCTAACTCGTTCCTTCTCCATTCGCAGACAGCTGAGCTCACCCCAGAACTTGTGATCTCCAACGACAAGAGGAGCTTTTGCCACTGACCAAGCGGTCCTGGCACCTCTCGGTGAGTTCTCTTCTTGGGGAGAAGGAGGCTTGCCTGGGAAATCCTGCAGTTGTCAGAACCTTTGAAGGGCTACGGTTCCCTCAGTTTGGGCAAAGAGGGACTAGCGACTTATCTGTTGGTCATTTGGAATACACAGCAGAACCGAATTCAGTATCACGTGCATTGCATTAGCACGTTGCCTCTGCCCACCCCCAGGGGCCAAAGATCAGGGCAAGTGGGCGCGCGGGTCCCACTAAATAGTCTTTCTGTTTGGAGGCGTACAAGGAAGCCCCCTTCCCCTAGTGTCATTTCCAGAGGGGTGTTGGGTAGCTCTGCCTGTGGTCCTTTGGCGCCAACTGGGTGGAGGCAGTGTGGGGTGCGGAGTTATCAGCTGGAGGTAGAGACCGAGTTTCCTCCCTGGCGCCGTCCAGTCTGCGGCGGCCCCCGCCTCGGCTCGCTCAGCGGAAACTGACGGCTCGCTCGCTCTTTTTTCCTCCCCCGCCCAGAACGCAGGTGCTGGCGCCCGTTCAGCCTGGGACCCTGAGACTCTGGGACCCTCTCCGGCCGGAAGCCTGAGGGCATGGATGAGCCCTAATCTCGCCTCTAGCCCTCTTGACTTCACCGCCCCCACCCCCAACTCCTGCCTCGAGGCTGGACCTGGCGCCCGAGCGCGAAGGACTGTGAACTTGGGTGGCCTGAAAAGAGCTAGCGCCGGTCAGCAGCTGGGCAGCGTCACCCTACTGCCACCCCACCTCCAAGTTTTTTAAAAGACTGGCTTTTCAGAAAGAGGGTGGGCGAGGTGAGGGTGGAGAGTGGCTGCCCTGCAGACTCTGCCAAGGCAGCATTAGAGCTGGTCTTCTGGTCTGCTGCCCTGATTATGAACTCTATAATAGAGTATATAGCTTTTGTACCTTTTACAGGAAGGTGACTTTCTGTAATCATGTGATGTATATTAAACTTTTTATAAAAGTTAACATTTTGCATAATAAACGATTTAAAAACATGGTGTGACCTCATCAGGCGCCAGTCTCCCCATCCTGAGGGACTTATTTTCTAAAGACAGCTATGTGAGAAAGACCATATCTTTGGGGCTTGGGAAGAACAAATTTTCTTAAGGGTTAGGGTGGCATGGTAGAAAGGGCTCAGAGAACCCCCAACCATTGGAGGTTGGGAACAAGCATCTATAATGAAGCTTGAAACTTTATTCATGATGTCTTTCTAGCAGGGGATGTGGTAAGAAGAGAGCCTAGAGTTTGCTTCATTGGGTGTCAAGTCATGTGTGGTGACTGACAGACCCATTTGAGAGATGAATAAACTGAGCACTGGGCCTGGTTTCATTTCCCTTATGCTTTCTGGTCTGGCTTCCTCCTGGACTTCCAAACTTGGAAAAAAAGAAACCGGCAAGGTATCTCCTCCAATCTGCAGCCACTCAGGGATGCAGACAAGCTGGGAAGTACTGGTATTAATCCTTCCCTTAATGCACAGTAGACTGACCTGGGAGTTTAAGAACAGCCCCCAATTTTAACTGTAATGATTAGGGCCTTGAAGTGGCCATTTCATGGGGGCCAAGCCTATAAGTGGGGCAGAAGGTTAGACCTCAACTTAAACCACCATCCAGGACCCCCCACCTGGTGGCTCCCTAGGTGGGCTGCACCAGGCTCCTGGCCTCACTCAATTCCTGTTTATATGATCTCATGTGTGTTGGTCCCTGGCATGTGTTTAATATTTCATAACAAACATGTCACATCATCACCCTTTGTATCTTAACCCTGGTGAGCTTTCTGGGGTGAAGAGGGTCATGTAGAGGGGGTGCAACCTCTTTGATAGTCATCTTTTCAGTCTGATAAGTTTTTGGTTTTGGTTTTTTAAGACAGGGTCTCCCCCTGTACCCCAACTTGCCTGGAACTTGCTACATAGACCAGGCTGACCTCATCTGCTTGCCTCTGTCTCCCAAGTGCTGGGATTAAAGGGGTGTGTCACCACACCCAGTTTGATGGTTCTTAACCTGTTTGGGGTCCTGCTTTGCTGATGGAAGGCTGGAGTACTCTTCAGAAACCACACATGGAATTTTGCAGAATAGTAGCAGCCCCCCAACTCATGTGAGAAACCTTGCCCCTGGTAACCCTATGACCACAGGTGAATCCACCCTGGGTTGTATGTTAAGAGTGCTATGTTCTCTGGATACTGCCTTAATAAGGATGCAAATCCTGGATCTGCCACATACCAGCTTTACAAACTGTGCCTCTCAGACACCTCAGTTTCTTCTTAATACTAGGCAACAGATCTGGAGGAAGCGGTTCCAAGGGGGCCTGTACTTAGAAGAAGGGATGGAATGAAAGCTCGTGTGCCATGTGGCCTCGGTGCAAGCCACTTCCAGAGCTAGGCGGCCTTCTAGAATTGGAGATAATGATGGGAAAGTTCTTTGAAATGCATCACACACCTACAAGGCATTATTAAGCTAATTTCAAGGAAATTGCTTGTCAGGACTCACAGGGCTGAAAGGCTCAGGTGGCCTGGACAAAAGCTTACACCAGAATGCCAATTCATTAGTCATTAGAGAGTGAAAGCAATTTAGCCCTAGGTTGGAAAACTATGAGAGGATAGAATCCTGTCGTAATCACTTACCCAAGTGCCTACCAGGTGCCTGAGTCCATTTTATCTTAATCTTTTTTCTAATCATAACAACCCTGCAAGGTGAGTACCAATGGGTTAGGCTGCTCCAGGTCAGTGCAATGAAGTGGCAGATGGTATTTAGGAAGATCAGCTTTCTCTAACTTCAAGGCCCAAGTCCCTTCAACTATAGATGGCTCTTCTCCCTGTCACCCCATAGCAGGGCTCATAGTAGGACCCCAGTGGGAGCTTGTTGAAGATTGAAGATTACCTCAGTTCTGCCCCTGTAATGAAAATGGTTATCTCCCTTACAGGTTTGTGGTTCGGATAAAAGACCACACAAAATATCTACCAGGTTCCTGGAACGATATAGATTCAGTATTAGCTGAGGGTCGTGGGCCCATTTCTCAGTCGAAGCACAGGACACTGGTGGGTATCTTTATTAATAATAATAGTAAAACAAGCTCCTAACAGGCAAAACAACCTGCACATGGCCTCACAGTTCCTAAGTGACAAAGCAGGGATTCAAATTCATGCCGTGACATCATGGTGGCCTTCCGAGAAGGCCAATTAAGCACTCTCTAGCCGTGGATGCAATTATTGTTCTTCCGGGGGGCCTCATGGGCTTCCCTGATAGTCACTCTTCCCCAGGCCCCTGAGCTGCACCCTAAAAAAGGAAATCCTGTAGCTTGCTCTCCCGCAGAACTACCCCTACCCACTCGCGGGCCTCCGGGGTAAGAGAGCAGCTCCCCACCAGCGTCTGCGCGGCGCCGGGGCAGGACTCAGCCGCGGCGCACATGGCCCAGCGCCCGGGCGGGCGGAGCCTCCAGGCCCCGCCCCCGGCCCG